ACCAGATTCTCCTGGCTGTTGTTGATGGTCTTTTCCAACCGTTGTCTGGAGAATTCGCTGCTGCTGGGCTTTGTATATTGAATGCCACCTGTTTGTTCTGTACATTATCATTCCTGAAATGCATTTCGTGGTTGTCGGCACCATTTCATGTGCACTTACCTACCAGTGCATCGTCACTTCGAGTAATATTTAAAATGTGCACGTACTTTATACAATGCACTTATGCGTAATTCTATAATTTTTGGCCACGTATAGTTATTTTAACCCAGCTGCAATGACGCTTGATATACATTTCTTCGTCCAGTGCCGTTGCCTGCTGAAAAAAGTAAGAAACACCTTCAAAATAGCATGTTGCTATGTCAGTTGCTATGTAGTTGCTATGGAAACGGGGTATGTTAAGATAATTGCTTATTTTGACTTCCCTGCAAGCTTCCCAAACTGACAACAATCAAAAATGATCTTCTATTAGGTCTCTCCACATGCTAAAAGAACAAAATCGCGGTACACCCAAAGTGGGAACGAAAATCATGAATTCATGCACTTGGCTCACAGTCTATTCCTTCTGAGATCCGTGGAATAATAACTTTCTTTGCTTCAAAGCAAGTTGCTTACCTTTCTGTTGTGCTCCCAGTGTCCTTACAACAATAACCTACAGCAATGTTTTATTTTCCTTTCCATTCCCCAACCAATGAATACTACGATGTCGATTCTATTTCTGAATACTTTAGTGTGTGCCCGCGCACGCACGTGTGTGTGTGTGTGTATACCTCACTCGCCACTCGAAGTTCTGTTTCCCATCACTGGAACACTGCCTGTTCTTTCAGGACCTGCCATCATCTGCGGATGGGCATTCAATGATTGTATTGTGTGTTTGTTTCATTCAGAATCAGATCCGCTATCGTTGCTATAAGAGAAAATCTGTGGGTTCACATCCAGTGCATTTGCGTGCTTTTCTCGCCACGGGCGCATACATGGGACATTGTGTGTGTGTCTGTGTGTGTCTGTGTGTGCGTCTGTGTGTATGGGGATATTGTCTGTATCGGCTTTTGTCTGTGCTTGCATGTGTGAACATGAAATTGTTCGGTTCTGTGCATGCTATTGCTATGTTGTATATTATTGTATGTATGTGTGCATTTCCACGAACAGTGTAGATGAGCGTGGAGAGTGCATTCATCCCTCATCAACCACTTCCCCTTGGGCTTACGAGAGTTTTTTCTGCGTACCTCTCATTTTTGTTTGTTTCTCTCTGATACTGTATTGATGCCGGTACCTGTACCTCGAAGTGTTCCTCTATCTGCAGTCACCTTTAACCTTCGGTCAAGTTAACGTTTATTGTGCTCTATTTATCGTGCGAATCAAAATAAACAATAATAACACAAGTCGTGCTAGAGTGACGACATGTGCGTGTAGTAGGGTTGATGCGATGGGACGTTATAATTAGGTGGAACAGAACACACATTGGGCAGATTGATTGGGCATCATTGATTGTGCTCAGTCTAAATAGTGAACATAATAATTATCTCCAGTGACAGACTGTAGCGGCTAGCCCCCAATAGGTAGCTGACACTAGTCGCTACTGCTTGTTTGACAGGTGCCGCCAGAACCCCTGTTGTGTCATGATAGATGCACATGCCCTATTCTGGGGCATACTGAGGTACTTTGATTTTGTTGACTGCATGTAGACAGCATCCAATAGTAGTACTCGTAGACCTTGGCTCTTTGTAGGTCAACCACCATCGCATGGATCGATCGGTGACTATGCACTTGGAGGTTGGAATAGCCCGCGCTGAACAGATCTTGCCATGGCCCAGGGAGTGAACTCGCTTACTCCACTATCCCGGTTTTAGTTAACCAGCATGAGTGGTGCAATTTGTCCATACCATGTTGGGAGCTCACAGTTGTTTGGGCAGGTTTTGAGCTGCACCACGAAACAAAGCGAAATAACGGCAGCAAGGATGCGGCGAGACGGCACTTCCAGGACTAGACAGGCAGTAGATATGTGTTCACAGCACGAGCAACCTCTCAAACCCTGCCGGTACTCCACAGTTACAAGAAAATGTCGGACTGGACGACGCGCCAATGCAAACCTGCTACATCCAACCAGGCAGATAGCTGCCAAACCAGGCCAATGTCGACCCACTGCATACCGGTATGTCAATGTCAAACAGATCCTGCAGGAGAAGACTGGGATGATATTGGCGTCCAGTGTACGGACACCAGTCACATTTCCTGCGTCTTTTGCAGCATACAGGATAGACTCATCACTGTAAAGTCCACTACTTCGTGATTTTTATTTGTAGAATACATGACAGGCGTATTCAGTGTGCCTCGCAGGACTGCGAGATGCTGCAGAAGACCAGGTTCGACCTTTCTGGACCGCCATTCACCGACGGTGGGCTGCATGATGCTGGAGGAACTAGATTCCAGTGAAAACCCAAGATTCCTTTGCTCCTGGACGCTCCGACGTGTTGTGATATCTGCCAGGTGCGCAGTAACTAGTATTTTCATCGCTATAGCGAGGACGACGCCGATCGGCAAACTCTCGCTCACAGCCATCACCAGCCTCTCAAAACCATCACTTGGCATCCCCCAGAGGTATAGGAGAAAGCCAAAACAGCTCTCAACAAACAAAAGCTAAGGACGATGGAAAGAGAGCATGTCAAAAAGAAGACGAACAGTATGAAGTTCAAATGGGTTTGAACACTCGTACCACCAACTATACCACTTTCAATAAATCGTGACGCCATTTTGTTTTAACACGCATACGGTCCATTAGTTCTACAACGAAGCTGGAGCATGAAGCTCGAAGGTCAAAGTCGCGTCCGGTCTGCATACATAACACTTTTTTTGTGCAAAATTTTGTACATATTTCCACTTTTGGCCATTCTACGTACATATTCCAGGTGCGGCCTCTTAAAGATTATAATCGAATAATCGATCGTTATGATAAAGAGTAATCGATTGGGCTAAATGGATGATCGTTTCAGCCCTACTAATCTTTCAGGTCTGTGAAAGAAGGAATTTTCCAAACACTGTACTAGAAACCAAAGTTTGCATTGGACGGCGATGCTCATTTCGTTCAATGTTTCTATGACAACTCCTTTGCTGGACGAGCATTTGTTGTCATTGACTCAATTTCTTTTACTCTCCATGCCAACTGCCACATCGAATTCATCCGATGGGCTATTGGATTATTTTCCTTACTCGGTCTATTTATCACCAGTATCTATATGAGAGTGTGGTGTGTCTCTATGGTTACCGGTGTTCGGCACACCCGGTTCATGTAGCATGTTGCAAATTAAGATGCTCTTGTTTGTTGCTGATAGAAAGATTGCCGCTTCCCTAGTTTGTTTCACCAATATGCTTTTCTTTTGATAACTATAGCCACTTCCCCTTTTTAGACCTTATCTGGAAGGCCCGTTCTTGCATATTCAAGCAGCAGCCAAGGGAGCTAGCTCTCTTGGTTATGCTGGTAGAAGGACTGGGTCCGACCCACCGTCCGAGGGGATCCACAGGATTTCCTGTGGATATGAAATCCCCTCGTTTGAGGGGATTATGAGCCATAATCCCCTCAAACTAGGGGAAATATCCGTAGATCATGTGACCTGAAAAGGGTGGTCCATGGTACACTAGTTTAGTAGTTATGTACAGTCATGTAGTTCCACACGACGTCACGTGGTTACGTTCTCCGCACAAAGCGCAAAATTGGAGCTGGAAGGAAAGCTGCTCACTCCACCTTGGAGCAAGAGCTCGTAGAATGGGTCCAGTCTCGCCGGCAGTCTGGCCTGACAGTGTCCACTATGGACATTCGTCGCAAGGCGAAGAAGCTGAGCCAGGAAGCGCGACATGCGACAGGGCAATTTCGCTTCTCCACACATAAATCATAATCATTGGTGTTTTCGCTTCATGCGGCGCAATCGGCTGGTGCATGGTGATGCGCGAAAGGACGACACTAGCTGCTCGTCATCCGGAAGACCTCAGAGGGAGAAAGTGCTGGCCTTCCAGCGGTTCGTGATCGATCGTCGGCAGGAACACCCTATCGCGTTGTCACAGATTGGCAACATGGATGAGGTTCCCCTGACGTTCGACATGCCGACGAAACGAACCGTCAACGCCAAGGGCCAGCACTCCCATTCTCGTTCGCATCACGGGCCACGAGAAATCTCACTTCACGGTCGCCCTCGCGTGCATGGCGGATGAATTCGATGTGGCAGTTGGCAGCACAGTGGCAGTTAACATTGAATGAACATTGGATGACACTGGTTTTGTTCAGATTTTGTCTTACTGGCATGATATGATCTCTCCTCACAGAGAAATGATAGCGAACAGCGATGTTAGACATAGCAACTTGTGCTGGGATTACACCATTCAACAGCTTGCACCTGCCACCATTTTACTGGATTATTCTCAAAACGGAGTCGACAATGCCCTTTATCCTGTGTCTGCGTCCTCTGTTCAATCTGAGCAATGCTGTCATGTGCAGGTACGTCTTGTATTGTATTTCTATTTCTGTTGTCGTTGCTCTTTCTATTTTTATTTTTCATTTCCCAAGTCCATTCAGCACGTGCGAATTTGTGGGCAGTATACCACCGCTGACATTGACGCGTAAGTGCATAGTAATAATAATAAGTATACAGCTTGCAAGGCTGATGAATTTACTGCCACTAATTTTAACCTGGAATCCACCACACAGCTGATTGAAGTGACTTTCCCTATTTTTCATTTTTTCCATTTTTTCATTCTTTTTTTCTATTTCAAGAGACGCACCGCACCACATACTCCGGCATACCCTGGCTGTTGGTAACCACCCAGGAGAATGAAAGAAGAGTTAGGAGAATGAGAAAGAGAAGAAAGACGTGTGCGACCATAATCGTCGGGAATTGAACCCGCAACCTCTCGATTGGAAATCGACTGCACATACCACTGCACCACACACACACACACGGGCGCGTGCGCAGCCACACCCACACACAAGAACAGGAGCTTTGCGGTTATGCAAG